TCTCCGTCTTCCCCCTCTTCTACCCTAAAACCTACACCTACCCCTGATCTCCCCGTGACTAATACACCCTCTCTTCCACTCTCAACACCCATGCTCCATTCTCCCCTCAGTCCCCAACCCCCATTATCCTCCCCCCCCCCTACCCCACAATCTCTCAACCTCTGACTCCCAGCATCAGACAACCTCTCAATCCCCCTATGTCATTCAGACCCTCCCTAATTTTCAGACCCATTATGCCCTTCCTACCCCCCTAGATGCCCAGACCCCATTCTCCCCCAGGCACCCCCACCCAGCCACCATTCGACCCCCAGAGAAAGGGTGAACTCTGGCATCAGAGTTTTTTCAAGAAGAGTCTCAAGCTTTGGTACACCAATGCTGATGGGGTATCCAATAAAGCAGAAGAGATTAAAGAAAGAGTTAGTGAGGCAGACCCAGACATAGTGGCAATAGTGGAAACTAAAATAAATGACATGATTTCGGATGCAATCGGGCCACCGATCATGGCTTCAATTTCTCTATTTCTAAGACTTGTGCCATGACTTTTATGCGGAAACGGGTCGTTCTTCGTCCCTCTTTGTCACTTTATGGTCATCCCCTTGAATACAAAGATTCCGCGAAGCTTTTGGGGTTATTCCTTGACACTCGTTTGTTTTGGTCTCCCCATATCTCTTACCTCCGTGTTGAGTGCTCTAAGGCCCTTACCCTCCTTCGGGTCTTGTCCCATACTTCTTGGGGGGCAGATAGGCGCACTCTCCTTGCTTTACATTCCTCTCTCGTCCTGTCTAAGCTCGATTATGGTTGCCCTGCTTACTCGTCTGCTTCTCCTTCTACTCTTCGCCGTCTTGATGCTTTGCACCATACTGGGCTGCGCCTCAGTTCTGGTGCCTTTCGTTCGACTCCCATCCTTAGCTTGTATGTTGACACTGGCTTCCTGTTTCTCCAGGACCGCCGTGATCGCATCTGTCTTCGCTATCTTGCGCGGTCCTTGCAACATCCTTCCTCTCGCCTCTGTCGTGCTTTGACTTTTACCCCTCCTGCGGTTCCTGTTCCTCTTCACCACCTCCCTCTTTTTGTCCGGTTATCTCGCCTACAGGATTCTCTTTCCGTTCGTATTTCTGATGTTTCTCCTCGTGTTGTTCCTTCTTTGCCCCCGTGGAGAGTCCCTCTTCTGCGGTTTTGTACATCCTTGACCCGTATCACTAAAGCTTTTACCCCTCCTACGGTTCTAAAACGCCTTTTCCTCGAGCACTTTTCTTCTCACTCCCGCTCCGTTTCTGTCTTCACTGATGGGTCTAAGTCTGCGGATGGTGTTGGCTACTCTGTTGTTTTTCCTGATCGCACTTATATGTGTCGCTTACCTCCGGAGACTAGCATCTTTACAGCGGAGCTTTATGCTATTCTCTATGCTCTTCGTCTCCTGCTTTCTCGTTGTCAGTCTTCCTTTGTAGTTGTTGTTGACTCTCGTAGTGCCCTCATGGCTCTCGGGTCCTTTAATCCGGTTCATCCAGTAGTTGTCGAGATCCTGCATTGGCTGTTTCTTGTTCACAGTAAATTTAAGACGGTTGAGTTTTGTTGGGTTCCCAGCCATATTGGTGTGTCTTTAAATGAGCGTGCGGATGCTGCCGCCAAGGAAGCTGTCCGCTCTTGTCCCATCTCTTGTAAAGGTATTTCATATTCCGACTTTTACCCGGTTATCCATTCCTCCGTCCTTACCCGTTGGCAGGCTTCTTGGTCGTCTGTTACTGGTAACAAACTACGTACTCTTAAATGTTGTGTTTCCTCGTGGCCGTCCTCCTACCACCGTAACCGGCGTTGGGAAACGGCTCTGGCGAGGCTGCGTATTGGCCATACTCGCTTAACCCATGGTCACTTGATGGAGCGCCGCCCTGCTCCTTATTGTCCTAGTTGCATTGTCCCTCTTACGGTCGTGCATGTCCTTCTTGAATGTCCTGACTTCCAGGACGAGCGTGTGTCTTGCTTTCCGACCGCCCCTCGCGGTCACCTGTCCCTCAATAGAATTCTTGGTGACTCGGATACTTTTGATATCGTTCGCCTTATGCGTTTTTGTTCCCGTATTGGCATCCTTGGTGATATTTAGCGCCCTCTGATTATTCTGCACATTTGATGGTGCTACATAGCCTTCCCGGTTTGGTGCCTTCTTTTGATAATTACTTACTTACTTCGGATGCAATCTTTCCAGAGGGGTACCAGGTGATAAGAAAAGAGAGGACACAGAGACAGGGAGGAGGAGTGGCACTCCTAATAAAGCGGAAATAGAAGTTTGAAGACCTGGAAAATCGTGCTACCAATGAAAGCACAAGTTCCATACATGGAACTCTGACAGTAGATGGGAAGAAGATTGTGATCTTGATAATCTACAATCCCCCACCAAACAGTAGAAGGCCCAGGCAGGAGTATGAGGACCGCAACAAGGCATGCATAGATGAACTGCAGAGGGCAGCAACAATAATTCTCCCTGGTCATGGGGGACCTAAATCATGGAGAGATCAATTGGAAATCAAGAATTCCCCATGGCATGGAGGAAACGTGGTGAGCAAAGTTAGTAGACGTTATAAACAGGAATTTCCTAACATAACCTGTGAAGGAAGACACAAGGGACAGAGGAGTGGATACACCGAGCCTATTAGACCTGATTTTCACCCAGAACGTAGAAGATATCGAGAATTTGGAACATGAAATCCCTCTAGGGGCCAGCGACCATTGTGTCCTAGTCTTTGACTACATGATGGAATTCAAACGTGTGATTATGGGACAAGAGGTCTGGGAAAGGAGAGTTGACTACAGGAAAGGGGACTACAGGAGGATAAGGGACTATCTGGGAGAAGTGCAGTGGGAGGAAGGAATTAGAGGAAACACAGTGCAAGATATGATGGACCTGGTCATACGGAAATGCAAGGAGGCCGAAGAGAGATTTATACCAACAGTAAAGGGAAAAAACAAGAGGGAATATAATAATCCATGGTTTAATAGACAGTGTCAGGAAGCAAAAATGTGAAGTGGGAGGGAGTGGAGGAAGTATAGAATAGAAGACAAAGGACAGAGGACAACAGGATTAGATGTAACAGAGCTAGGAACGATTACATTAACATACGAAGAGTAACGGAAATAAATTACGAGAATGATATTGCGATCAAAGCGAAAAAGCAACCTAAATTACTACATAGCCATATAAGAAAAAAATGGCGGTGAACGACAGAAGAGGAAGACTAAGGAAAACAAAGGGGGCATATACAGAAAGTAACAAGGAAATCTGCGAGGCACTGAATGCCAGTTTCCATGGAGTGTTCACAACCGAGCCTGAGCAGCTCCCATTGTTAGTCTTTCATCTAGGGTAATCTCTTCTATCAGATATAGAGGTGACAGCAGAGGAGGTAATGAAACAGTTGACAACACTAGATGCAATTAAAGCAGTTGGAAGGGATGGGAACTCTCAGGAGAAAGCGCCAAATCATTACGGCTATATAGCCTAAAGTGGTTGAACCAGACAAAATATCACCGTGGATACTAAAAGAGGCAGCGCAGGCCCTCAGCGTGCCTCTGGCAATGATCTTTAATGAGTCTCTTATGTAGGGAGAATTGCCCAGTTGTTGGAAGAAGGCAAATGAGGAAGGAAGGAGGCACTTAACTACAGACCCGTATCACTGACAAGCATCCCCTGCAAAATACTTGAAACAATAATTAGGCTACAACTGGTTGCACACCTGGAGAACGTTGGGTTTGTAAACAAACACCAACATGGGTTCTGGAAAGGGAAATCATGCCTAACAAAACTTTTGGCATTCTATGATAAAATAACAAGGATAAAGCAGGACAGAGAAGGTTGGGCAGACTGCATATTTCTGGACTGCCAACAAGCCACTGATACAGTACCGCACATGAGACTGCTTTTCAAACTTGAGAGACAGGCAGAAGTAAGCAGAAAGGCATGGGTAAGGAACTACCTAACAGGAAGAAGCCAGAGACTAATGATATGGGGCGAGAAGTCAGACTGGTGGACAGTAACGAGTACCTCTAGGACCGGTGTTGGGACCAATTCTGTTTCTAATAAACATAAATTACATGTTTACAGGAGTAGAATCCTACATGTCGATGTTCGCGGATGACACAAAACTAATGAGAAGATTTGTGACAGATGAGGATTGTAGGATCCTCCAAGAGGACTTGAACAGGTTGCTGAGATGGTCAGTGAAATGGCTACTGAAGTTCAACACGAGCAAATGTAAAGTTATGGAAATGGGATCAGGTGATAGGAAACCAAAGAGACAGTGCACGATGAAGGGGAAAGAAAGAGACCTGTTAGTGGACGTAACACCTAATCTATCTCCTGAGGCACATATAAATAGGATAACGACAGCAGCGTACTCTACACTGGCAAAAGTTAAAACATTATTCAGAAACCTAAGTAAGGAGGTTTTTAGGGCGCTTTACACTACCTACGTGAAACGTGTCTTATGCCGCGCCATCATAGTCCCCACCTGAAGAAACACATAAGGAAACTGGAAAAGGTTCATAAGTTTGTGACGAGGCTCGTCCCAGAGTTACGAGGGATAGGATATGAAGAGCGTCTGAAGGAACTGAACCTTACAACACTAGAAAAAAGAAGGGAGAGGGGGGATATGATAGGAACATATAAAATGCTCAGGGGAATCGAGAAAATGGAAATAGCTGAAATGTTCACACGTAATATTAACAGAACGAGGGGACATGGGTGGAAGCTGGAAGCTCAGTTGAGTCACAGAGATGTTATTAAGTTTTTCTTTTAGCGTGAGAATAGTGGGAAAATGGAATGCACTTAAGGAGCAGGTTGTGGAAGCAAACTCTATTCATAATTTTAAAACTAAATATGATTGGGAAATAAGACAAGGTGATGAAATAGGTAAGATCACCCAGTGATACAGGAAGGGTTGAGGAGGGAGCCAGACAAGAAGGGTTGAGGAGGGAGCCAGACAGACGGAGGTTGAGGAGTAGGTAGCACCAACCTGTCGTCCCCGCAGTGAACACAGCCACCAGCCCTCGAGGCCGGCGGTGTTCTGCTCCAGGACGGTGAGGACGTCGTTCCGTCGGAAGGCCAGTTCGTCAGGGGACTCGGCCACGTTGTCGTACAGCGCCCGGGCCATGCAGTTCTGTCGGAGGCGGGAACACATTATAGCTACACTATAACAAATTATACATTTGTTGTATTTATTCATATATACAAGAGTCCTCACATTCTTGTACAGCCACTAGCACATTAAATGCCACGTGAGCAGAGCTTCAGGTGAAAGAAACTGTCAAATTGTTTCTCATTAGGCCGGGAATCGAATCCTGAATCGAACTAGCACGCAGAGCCTTTTTCTTAATCATGGGGTCATTGTCTAAATTAAACATTTGACTACGTTCTAAACATCACAAGTCAAGGTTATTATTGTTATAAACAGCCTCGTGCGGGGCATTGGAGCTCATTAACTGCTTTGACCAATGTAAACAAAGGCGATATGTTTTAGGAAAGATGCATTGGTTTCGTAATGTGGTTGGGTAAATACTTCCAGGTATACTCCAAGCCCGGTGCTTCTCTTTAGTAACTCCGTACAAAAGGGAACTGTTTGATGCAGACGATGATTCACACTCAGGTGGTTGAGTATATGATGACTACACCACACATCAGAAAGTCGAGAAACCACGACATTTCGGACCGTCCAGGACCGTTATCAAGTCCACTTGGGACCGTTATCAAGTCCACTTGGGACCGTTATCAAGTCCACTTGGGACCGTTATCAAGTCCACTTGGGACCGTTATCAAGTCCACTTGGGACCGTTATCAAGTCCACTTGGGACCGTTATCAAGTCCACTTGGGACCGTTATCAAGGCCACTTGGGACCGTTATCAAGTCCACTTGGGACCGTTATCAAGTCCACTTGGGACCGTTATCAAGTCCACTTGGGACCGTTATCAAGTCCACTTGGGACCGTTATCAAGTCCACTTGGGACCGTTATCAAGTCCACTTGGGACCGTTATCAAGTCCACTTGGAACCGTTATCAAGTCTACTTGGGACCGTTATCAAGTCCACTTGGGACCGTCCTGGACCGTTAAGTCCACTTGGGACCGTTATTAAGTCCACTTGGGACCGTCCTGGACCGTTATCAAGTCCACTTGGGACCGTCCTGGACCGTTATCAAGTCCACTTGGGACCGTCCTGGACCGTTATCAAGTCCACTTGGGACCGTCCTGGACCGTTATCAAGTCCACTTGGGACCGTCCTGCACCGTTATCAAGTCCACTTGGGACCGTCCTGGACCGTTATCAAGTCCACTTAGGACCGTTATCAGGTCCAGGACGCGATCGTGTCTGGACTTTCTGACCTGGGGTTTGGTCGTCGGAAACTGGTTTACCGAGCCAGAAACGTATCAACCCCAACAACCCACCTAACATAGTTTAGTTCATTTATTATGCACCCCATACCCATCTTGTGGGCGGTAGTGGAAAGGGTTACAGAGGCACATAATGGGCTCAGGGACTGAACCCCACAATTCATTTAGCTAAGCAAGTTACAATCTTGATGAGCTAGTTACAAAATTCAGTATAAGTCGTCACATCAACAATGGATGCTAACGCACGGAAAATGGCAATGTTACCGTGCTTTAATTGTCACAATTACGTGGCAATTTGTAACGAATTGGTGGTTCCGTAAAAAATGCGACGTATTAAGTAAGACAACGGGTCGAAGAGGCATAAATAAGACCTCTCAGTTCCTTCGGTAACTGAGCAAATCTTTGACTGGTGAACATTACATGAACCTCTTAACTATCTTGAGAGGATTTCGGGGCTTAGCGTCCCCGCGGCCCGGTCGGAGACGCTAGTATACAATATCTTAACTAGTAATCAAATACATCATTTGGACAACGCTGTTCATCATGAGCACTGGATGAGAGGGTTCTGGGGGGGGGGGTGTTCTACTCCCCAAGCCCGGGTCCAACCACTTGGGCTGGACGGTAGAGCGACGGTCTCGCTTCATGTGGGTCGGCGTTCAGTTCCCGACCGTCCAAGTGGTTGGGCACCATTCCTTTACCCTGTCCCATCCCAAATCCTTATCCTGACTTTTGTTCCGGTAATATTTCTTATACTTGCTGGGAGGATATTGAACATTATTTGATCTCTAGAAAGGAGACGAGAGAGAGAGAATACATTTGGAGAGCTTTGAGACGATCCCAATAGTTGAGGTCCTTTATTGTGTCTGTCTATCCAATCCATCGCATACTGGACTGCATATGGCAGCATACATTTCGATGCATTGTCCAGATGGATCACATTATATTGACCAGACCACACACTAGAAGGTGAAGGGACGACGACGTTTCGGTCCGTCCTGGACCATTGTCAAGTCGATTCGTATAATACTAGTATGAATATAATAGTATGAATAAAATATGTGAATATAATCACATTATATTCCTGGAAGAATTGTAGACAACTGTTGTGGAACTTCACTGTGTATCCACCCTGACTGATACTTGGTCACCCTTCAGTCTTGGCCAGGCAGGTGCCGCCGCCGACCACAGGAAAGTAATCAAACCCAACGTGAAAGGATAACTTGGCTCTTGAAACATTATTTGTCCCCATAGCACATGAGACCGCTGACCCCTGGATCAATTGTTCATGACCTTTCTCAAAATATCGGGTTTTAGACTTGCTGACACTACTAGAGACCCCAAGAGCTGCAAGTTGTACATTTCATAAAGGTAACTTTGTATGTACTTGAACAGGTTACACTAAGACGATAGAGAACAAGAACGCACTAGAGGCAAGCGACCAGTGTGTCCTAATCTTTGACAATCTAGTGATGATTATGGACAAAGCTGGAGACTTCTTCGAGCAAATTAACAGAGAGAGAGAGAGAGAGAGAGAGAGAGAGAGAGAGAGAGATGGATGGATGGATGGATGGATGGAAGACCACTATCAGAGGTTCAGGACGTTGGCATCAGTTAATGTTGAGACACTGAGGGAAGTGGCAAACCGAGCCTCAGAGGCCAGGGGAAAATCTAAGAAATCAGCCTATGGTTTGTGTGGTGTGGGGTCCTCTAGGGCTCTTCTGGGGGCCTTGCGAGGCTCTCTAGGGCTTATGTAGGTCTCTCTCTCTCTCTCTCTCTCTCTCTCTGTCTCTCTCTGTGTGTACTCACCTAATTGTGCTTGTGGGGGTTGAGCTTTGGCTCTTTGGGCCCACCTCTCAACTGTCAATCAACTGGTGTACAGATTCCTGAGCCTACTGGGCTCTATCATATCTACATTTAAAACTGTGTATGGAGTCAGCCTCCACCACATCACTGCCTAATGCATTCCACCTCTTAATTACTCTGACACTGAAGAAGTTCTTTCTAACGTCTCTGTGGCTCATGTGGGTACTCTGTTTCCACCTGTGTCCCCTTGTTCGCGTCCCTCCAGTGTTGAATAGTTTATCCTTGTCTACCCTGTCAATTCCCCTGAGGATTTTGTAGGTAGTGATTATGTCTCCCCTCACTCTTCTGTCTTCCAGTGTCGTAAGGTGCATTTCCCGCAGCCTTTCCTCGTAACTCATGCCTCTTAGTTCTGTGACTAGTCAAGTGGCATACCTCTGACCTTTTCCAGCTTCGTCTTGTGCTTGACAAGGTGCGGGCTCCATGCTGGGGCTGCATACTCCAGTATTGGTCTTATGTATGTGGTGTACAAGATTCTAAACGATTCCTTACACAGGTTCCTGAAGGCTGTTCTGTTAGCCAGCCTCGCATATGCCGCAGACGTAATTCTTTTTATGTGGGGTTCAGGAGACAGGTTTGGTGTGATATCAATTCCTAGGTCTTTCTCTCTTTCCGTTTCATTAAGTATTTCATTTCCTATTCTGTATCTTGTGTCTGGCCTGTTTCCACCGCCTAGTTTCATTACTTTGCATTTACTCGGGTTAAACTTTAACAGCCATTTGTTGGACCATTCATTCAGCCTGTCTAGGTCGTCCTGTAGCCTCCTACTATCGTCCTCTGTTTCAATCCTCCTCATAATTTTTGCATCATCACATACAAGGACCGACCCCTGCGGGACTCCACTTGTGACGTCACGCTAATCTGAGACCTCACCCCTCACAGTGACTCGTTGTCTTCTGTTGCTTAGGTACTCCTTTATCCAACGGAGTACCTTCCTTTTCACTCCAGCCTGCATTTCCAGCTTTCTCACTAGAATCTTGTGTGGCACGGTATCAAAGGCTTTTTGACAATCCAAAAATATGCAGTCTGCCCACCCCTCTCTTTCTTGCCTGATTTTGGTTGCCTGGTCGTAGAATTTAATTAGCCCTGTGAGGCAGGACCTGCCATCCCTGAACCCATGCTGATGCTATGTAACAAAGTTCTTTCGCTCCAGATGTTCCACTAGCTTTCTTCGCACAATCTTCTCCATCAGCTTGCATGGTATGTAGGTTAGGGACACTGGCCTGTAGTTCAGTGCCTCCTGCCTATCCCCTTTCTTGTATATTGGAACTACATTAGCTGCCTTCCAAATTTCTGGTAGTTCCCCTGGTTTCAGTGATTTGTTATACACTATGGAGAGTGGCAGGCACAGTGCTTCTGCTCCTTCCCTTAGTATCCAAGGGGAGATTCCATCTGGGCCTATAGCCTTTGTCACATCCAACTCTAGTAAACACTTCTTTACTTCTCCACTGGTAATCTCAAACTCTTCTAGTGGTTCCTGGTTAACTATTCCCTCTCTTATCTCTGAAATCTCTCCTTGCTCTACGGTGAAGACCTCCTGGAATTTCTTATTCAGTTCCTCACACACTTCCTTGTCGTTTGTAGTGAATCCTTCCGCCCCTATCCTTATATTCATTACCTGTTCCTTTACTGTTGTTTTTCTCCTGATTTTTTTTTTTTAATTTTGCCCCGAGGGGCGAGTTTATTGGGCAGCGCCACTCATCTTGTGAGTGGACACACCGCCATAGCAGCATGTACAACACTTCCCAATAGGAAGAAAACCCGCTGGGTTGTTCATCCTGTCACTTGTACCCAGACACAGCTGGGACTTGCTTAACTGTCTCAAGTGAACAGCTCCTCAAACAAGAAGATTAACATCTATCAACCCTTAAAAGCTTACGTTATCTTGCGGGTGCAAAATGGGGGAATCTTTT